GAAAGAGCGTCAAAAATAAGGACGAAAACACTTCGGTCATTTTTTGGGTCAGGTCAAAGGTCAGGTCACCAGAGGTCACCAAAGGTAAAATGTTGACTATTTCAACATTTTGGAAACTGCCAACGGCTATCTCGGGAACCGATAGAGCTACAGCGCCGCGGAAAAGCGCATTCGATAGCCCTTTTACAGACCTTTCTGAGTAATGTTCTCAGATTTGACCTCAGGTCAACGGTTTAGCCTCCAGAGGGCAAAAACTCCAAAAATAGCCGTTTTTACGAAAAACGTTTTTTCGTCAATAACTTTTGACTCATAAGCGCCATGACATTACTTTTGCCAGCATCGTGTTCCTCTCGTCGAGACGCGTCGAATGAACTATTTGTTGACCTTGAAAGGTCATTTTGAAAATTTGACCTCAGGTCAAGGTCATGACCTGACCGAAAAGGGTCATGTTGCATATCAGTCGATCCGTATCGTCGAGCTGAACACATCTGACGTGTTTTCACCGCTCTAGCACGTCTCTATCAAAAGTTATAGCCAAAAAACTGCTGGCGACCGTTCATGACCTGAGATGACCTCAGGGGCACACAGAGGGGTCACAGGTGCATTTTTCCTATTCAGTGTGTCATGTTTACCTATGAACCGATGTTTGAGAGCGTTTTGAACGATATTCGTCCAAAAGAGGCGCATTTCAATTTTCTCCCATTGACTTATAATGGAGAGGTCGCAAAATTGACCTGACCTTAGGTCACAGATATCAAAAATCCGAGATATACATTTTATACATACTGTTACTCATATCAATCGCTGAAAGTTTCAAAGTGATCGTTCAGTCGGTGTAGCTATAGCGAGCCTTTGAACTTTTTCTGAGGTAAGGTCACTTGACGTGACCTGGTGACCTGACCTTGATCGGCCTAGGTCTGAAATTTTCACAACATGTGCGGAAATGATGTAGGAACACGTGTACCAAAAACGGCGGCGCTGCGCGCCGCCGTTTTTGAGATATTCGCGAAAAACCTGAGGGGGGGGCGTAAAAACGCCCCCCCCCCCAGCACGGCGCGGGTTAATATATTGTTTTAATAAAGGATGGTCATCAATATCAATTTTGTTTTTTCATAAATAATTTTTAAGATTTAAATTCAACATGATTGCTTTATAATTTCTCGTAAAAAATAAGTGTTGACATGAAATTGTAATTTGTAGGACGCTTGATAAATTACGGTAACTACGCAAATGTGCTTAGTTACGGAGGTGTAAACAATTCCAGTTGTGGCTTTGTGAAACGGCTTCATTTGCGCTCCGTAGTTTGAAAGGGTGTGAATTACGGAAAGGTGTAAGTTACGGCAGAGTTTTATGAAACGAGGCCCAGGTCATGACCTTGACCTGAGGTCAAATTTTCAAGTTGACCTTTCAAGGTCAAGTTATAGTTCATTCGATGCGTCTTGACGAGAGGAACACGATGCCGGTAAAAGTAAGCTCGTACAAGGTTTGGGTCAAAAGTTATTGCAGAAAAACTGTTTCCGAAAAAATCGGCTATTTTTGCAGTTTTTACCCCCTGCAGGCAAAACCGTTGACGCTAGGTCAAATCTGAGAGAATTACTCAGAAAGAGCGCTAATAGGGCTATCGAATGCGCTTTTCCGCAGCGCTGTAGCTCTATTGGTTCCCGAGTTATGCGTTGGCTTCTTGGAAATTGTCGACATTCGACCTGGAAATCGGCGAAATTTTGCCTTCAATGACCTCTGGTGACCTGACCTTTGACCTGACCAAAAAATTGACCGAAGTGATTTCGTCATTATTTTTTATGCTCTTTCGAACGCCGCCTTCCGCGTATCGCTACGTGGCCCAGGAGCCGAGTTAGAAGGGGGGGGGGGTGTTTGAACACCCCCCCCCCCAGCAGGGCGTGGAAATCCAGGACCCCCAGCAGGGCGCGGGTTAAACATTTACCACTTTTTGACTAAAAACGCCATGTAGTTACATCACTAAAATCGATATATCTCAGAAATTTTCGGAAATATTTTCTTAAAAATTGCACAGGAGACGTCAAATTGATGGGGAAGAAGGTATGCCAAGTTTCAAGTAGATAGCGAAAGTGGTTCATGAGTTATTCAAGAAAAACGGAGGGGGGGGGGGTCGGATCCGACCCCCCCCCCCCAGGCGGTCGCGGGTTAAAACAGCACAAATGCTACAATCGTGCCTAGCAATCGTGGCCTTTCTGCATGAGGCGATAGTGCGACTGAACTAACAAATGCGATAGAAATGCGGGATCGAATCTTGTCTGTCGGCATGTATAAACGCAATCGGAAGCTGCCGCACTAATCGTTCCCCGCAGGTGTTCCATTATTAACCGTAGAATTTGAGTCAGGTCAAAAGCTAGAGCGGTCCAACTTACGCCGGTTCGTCAGTATAGGTATTTACCCACCCACCTAAATTGAGCTATGTCACGCGCTCCGTACAACGCTGTAAAGACGTGGCATGAGACCATTTCAATTTCATTTCCGTTTCCATATTAAATTTATTGAACTTTCGTTGATATTGGAGGCAAATGTTGGGTCAGTTGAGTCGACTACTTATTGCTGCAAGCCTGAGAAGTGTTTTGCTGACATACAGGGTGACACAAAAAAAAACGGTCATCACCAAATTTCGAATAACTTCGGAAGTTTTATTCAGATCATCACCAAACCTCGGCCACTTAAGGTCACACCTATGTAGCATACATCCACCAAGTTTCAAGTCTTCACTACGAATACTTTTAGTACAGTATGTGTTTTACTGACGCTCCACAATGTGCTCCAGGTGAGCGCCACGGCGCTGCAGGGCCGGGCGTAGGCACACTTGCATCCGGCGGGCAAAGTTGTCGATAACCCGATGGCTGTGCATTTTACAGAGTGCAATGGCCTCTGGAGACAGTGCTCAGGGGGTGTGCTACCCCTGAAACGTTATTCTTATCGGGTTATCGGCAACTTTGCCCGCCGGATGCAGGTATGCCTACGCCCTGCGGCCTGCAGCGCCGGGGCGCTCACCTGGAGCACATTGTGGAGCGTCCGTAAAACACACACTGTACTAAAAGTATTCGTAGTGAAGACTTGAAACTTGGCGGATGTCTGCTGACTGCTACATAGGTGTGACCTAAAGTGGCCGAAGTTTGGTGATGATCTGAATAAAACTTCCGAAGTTATTCGAATTTTGGTGATGACCGCTTTTTTGTGTCACCCTGTATTACTGAATATAATACGCACAATACCTATACCTCTTGTATTTGTTACTTGTATTTGTGTTTTGCCAGTGAAGTTGATCCGAATTCCAAGGTGTCCCGAATCTCGGCTGAATCCGGGCTGCAGCCTCGAGTAACTGGCGGATCTAGAAAGGCGGTCTTGGACGCTGCACATTGACAAAAAAGCGCCCGAAATTGACGAAGATCTGTCGTTTTTTCGAGAATGAAACGAAAACTAAACAACTTTTATCATGTAAAATCTGTTTTAAACAGCACAGCAGTGCGCTAGGAACTAAAATTAGATGATTTTTTAGAACTTGAAGAAACTTTTCTATAGGGGTAGGGCTAGGCAGTAGGTATGCACCCCCGCAGCGTCCAAGGCCGATTTTCTGGATCCGCCAGCGTACCTATGAATATTCACAGTCGCTATGTCTCCTACTATGCTAAAATTTCAACTCAAATGATCAACAAATCTAGGTGATGTAGAGAACTCATCAATTTTCTTACACTTGGCTAGCATTCCCCATTGGTAAGTAAAGTACCTACGGCCATGGATGAAGTACATAGTGTAATCCATGGTACGGCATAGTGAGTCGCAGCACATTTCATTGCTTATATCAAGAAATTTGAAAATGATGACCAATGACCTGACCAGAAGTCACTAATATCGTAACAATAGGGTTCACATGTGAGCTACCGCAGCAATTTACGCTCATAAATCATATTCAGCGCGCAATATCAATCAACTTTGGCAAAGTCTACACTGGTCCACACTCCACAACTTGGAGTCGCCGATATATGTAATGTAAGGAATGCCTTCTGATACGCACTCCGAAGCGAATGCTTATACGGCAGTAGGAATACGCCTTACGATTGTGCCTATAGGTAAATACGGTAGTACGAATGCGATGAGTTTTGCTCATACATTTTCCGCGTAGGTTATCTATTTCCATTGCACCTAAAAATTGTTATTTTCAACATTCTTGCGTTTTGTTTCGCTGCACAGCCGTACAAGGCAAATCAGCTGTGCATCTTAAATTCGTACATCAGTTTTGAATAGGTGCTGTAATTTACGAGCTCGTCACACGCTCCTTGTTGAAAATGCACAGGTTATGTACTCGATAAACGCCACAGTAAATTAGCAATGTCACCTGTTGAATGAGTAGTTGCAGCAATTCATTTTATCGAAATGAATTGTGGCCACCTGGTTTAACTCGTCTGGTTCGGTAGGCTCAGGCTCAGCCGCTATCAGAAATTCACGTTCCGGACTGATAGAAGGTTGATCGAAAATAATTGGCGACACATGTGTTACAGCACAGGGCACGCAGTGTGGATGGGAATCCTTAGGACTTCACGTTCGGGAAATAGCCACCAACAGTTACAAAGCATAGCCGTAAACAAGGAAAAAAATACATAGCCTCCGGTGTCTGAAAGCCATTCACTTACGAGGATTGTGCTGGGGTGAACTGGTGACCTCAAAGGTCAGGATAAGGTATAACTACATACTTTCAGGTCGTGTAGATCTTTGTTTTCACAAATAACGTGCAATTTTTTAGCTCACATACGTTTTTACTACATTGAACTTGAACTATTTTTCCTATTCTTTGTTTTTACTCAAGCACACGGTCGTCAGTTGTCACCATATCCCACCTTCGAATTCCTATATGACGCCTTAAGTGTGTGATGAGCATTGCTTAACATTTGTCTGCTGACTACATGCCTAAATAAGTGGTAAAAAAGCAGAAACGAACGACTTAAATCCCTCTGATTATAAAAAAAAAAACTCATAGATCGTCCCAATACATCAGATATATTATTACACAGGAATGAAGCGTCCCTGCCTCTTCAGCACACATAAATACAAAGATATACATATTTCGTTTTCAGTTGCCGGATGCCACCTCTTCGCCCCATAAGATCGTACTCTACGTTTCGTCACTCGATCTGCGTAACAATTGACATTCGCCGCGAAGCCACCTTGTTGCTGCATCTCAGCCGAAATGCTCTCAACTCCGAAGCCACCTTTCGCATAAGAAAACACATTTCCACATAGCGGCTAACTCTCAGCCCGACAACCACCGGCGCACACACACTGAGATAGTGAGATGGCGGCATGGCGTTCTCACACCGCGCTTTATAGAGGGGAGGCCCAGACTAACACAATGCCAATGTTGGTCAGATAGTTGACGGTAGGTGGCGCTCGGTTAAATAACAAAGCCCGAGTCAGACAGTCAGCAACCATTGCGGTCAGATATGGACTGGTTCAGGTGTGAATCTTACCCACACAAGGAACCAAACCGAACGGACCAACCTCGGTTCAGATTCAGAAGCGAAAAACGACCAGCTCAGCCCTTGGAATGGTTCAGAGGTGAACCATATCAACCAACGGAGGCTTTGATTCAGGACTGAACCGCACGGACTACCTCGAGTACATAGTACATACTGGTTCAGATCTGAATCAATTCAGGAATGAACCGATTCAGCCTGGCACAGGGAGCCTACCCAACCATAAACCATGTCCGAACCCTCATCCAAAGCACCTCAGTTTCTGACGTGGCTACGTCCTGACCTGGAACCTTCCGGCCCGGGTGATATACTTGACACCTTTGAAGGGTTTGTACTTCTCTCCGTACATATCCAGACGGTTGACCTTGACCCCCGAGACAGCCAGCTGACTGATGGTGAATCTGCGGAAGAGCATGATGCCGTGTTAGAAATGTGGAAGACAATGGCGATAGGCTAAATAGGAGTTAGAATGACAGGCACGAACAGGGCATTAGCGATACGGAATTAGCTCACACATGGTAGTCTCCCTTGAAAGTACCGCGTCACGGTGCGGGGGTGCCATCAAGCCCGACCGAGGAAGCCAGGGCTGAAAGTACGAGAGTCAGCGAGCCACTTGACCTGGGGGATGAATGAGGATGCCGGGGAGGACGGGAAGAGAGAGAGAGAGAGAGAGAGAGAGAGAGAGAGAGAGAGAGAGAGAGAGAGAGAGAGAGAGAGAGAGAGAGAGAGAGAGAGAGAGAGAGAGAGAGAGAGAGAGCCGAACCGATTTTAGCAGCTGCTTCATCGGTACTTCCTCTCACCATGTATCGGTGCTTTCAAATGACTTTACATACAAACATATACTAAAGACACACGAAATCCAAACGTAGGTAGCGAAGGCGGCCAAACATATCACATGCCTTAGCCACGAGCATTATATCATACTGAACTGACCCAGTAAAAAGGGCAATTTACCTAATCGTACTGTCAGCCCTCAGGTAATGTTTTAACCCATGCGAAAATGTATATAAAGTGGAGTATTCTTATGACCACTCAGAACACACACCGTTATGGGGGCATCGCATGAATTCTTCATCTGACTCAGCCATATAAATTCAACTTTCGTTGCATTTCTTAAAAGACAGTCGTCATCCGGCCACTCATGGCCAAAGACAAGCCATTCCACGCCCTTAGGAGTTACGACACAGCTCTAACAGTCCCCAAATCTATCCTCACTGTACTCCGAAATCGGAAACCCCGACAAATTCAGCCCCATTAGAGCGTCAACACCCAGCGTATGCTCCCCCCCCCCCCCCCCCCCCCACGGCCCCGCTCGTACTGTAAATTGATGGCGGGGTTGGCGTCGGGCGGCGGCGCGCCCGTCTGCAGGCTCAGGCTGCCGCGCAGGTTGGGCAGTTTGGATTGTTCCACCCGGCCGACAGTCCAGCTGAGCAGCCGGGAGACCGGGTCGAACGTCACCCGGCCCTGGGAGGGCGTCAGCATGCAGTTGAGCACCTGCAACACACCAGTGGAGTGCGAGAAGGCAGCAGCCGAGACACAGAGGAGTACAAACGCTAGAGAGCTGAAAGATAGAACACATTACCTAAATATACAGTTACATACCTACCTAACACTGTAAAATAATCGAGTAACAAAAACATCCATTCACCAGTCCATCCTATTCACCCGGACTCTCGCGTCTCATTCACTCAGCCATTTTTTTCGCTCCTTCGCCCGTTCATTTCTTCAATAATGCTCGCACTCTCTTCCTCCCTGTCTTCCTCATCTCCTTACCTCCTCCCTCATCTATCCCTTTCTTCCTTCCTTCCCCCTCATCCATCCCTTCCTCTCTCACCCGCCCACACTCTCCCGCCTTCCCTACCTGTTTTGGCATGTTGATCTCCAGCAGTACATTCTCTACCGTCCTCCCCATGGTCTGTTTGGGCCCGACCGTGAGGTCCAGCCTGCCCGTGCCCGGACCCGTCTTGAAGGAGATGTTGTGCCTCACGTACAGAGGCACTGCTACCACAGACTGAGTTCCGATGTGGTAGGACATGAGTCGGAACGAACCATCTGGGGGGAGACAGGGGGATGGGGAGTTAGTTGTTACGCAGGGGTCTAGCTTAATTACAGCACAACATGTATGATGGAAATGTGACGTTGATGGTAATCCATTAACGCCCGGTGGTAGATACACAGTAGAATTCGCTTAATAAATCCTCAAATAATAATTCCATCCGCTTAGTGTGGTCACTTGAGCTATTCACGGATTTTCTCCACGAAGTATACCTGCCTATAAGCCACCGCTAAACCCAAAACGCCGTGTCACCAAGGCGGATTAATTAAGCGGATTGTACTGTACTTCTAGTTAAAATGAAATCGGACTTACTCCACAAGAGTTCGTTGGGTCGGAGCTTTCGAATTGTATTACAATTCTTCGTCAGCGAGAGTCGTATCGGATGTTAAGATCGAATCGAAGGTACAGTGCGGATCGAACAAAATATGGGTCGGACAGGAGGGTCTCTGAGGCAACTAGTTGGTCTTGAAATAAACATACAAACACTGGGAAAACACGTGAATAATAACAGGATGCACACTTACTAGAAAAAGCCTGTAAAATGGGTATAAAACACACTAGTAAAATATCTAATACAAAAATATAGGCAGGTAGGTAAAAATACAGTTAATGACATGTAAAAAATTGCATAGATTAGGTGCAAACAGTACCTAAAGCAGAGATAAAGCTTTACAAAAACACGAATAGTAAACTAGACTAAGATATAAAATATCAAAATGATAAATTCTATAAATGAACTTTTTAACGGCAGAAACGGCGAATAATGGGAAGCCACCTGTCTTGCAGCAGGGCACCAGAGTTGCGGTTCACATTCGCGTCATTGGGTGACACTAGGACGGCTTCCCGCCGTCCCACGGTACGAATGTAGGCCGATTCGAGAAGCAGTCTCATCTGGTGGTGGCAGGCACGGTTCAGGATTTTGGCGTCGTCGAAGGCCGGCGTGCAGTCCCGGTGCGTGCTGAACGCTGAAGCGTTGGCTCTGGAGCGGACCGAGCCAGCCCAGCTCTCTCGGTGCTCGCGGACTCTGGTTCCAAGTTCTCGGTCCGTTTCTCCGATGTAGACGACCGGGTCACCTTCTACCCGGCAGGAGCACTCGATGCAGTAGATGACATTGCTCTCCTGCTGCTTGGGTAGACGGTGCTTGGCTTGGCTACAGAGGAGGGTCCCGATGGTCTGCGACGGCTTCGACACGAGCTGAATGCCGATCTTGTTGGCTTCTCGCTTCAGTTGGTAGAAGCAGGGACCAGCGAACGGAACCGAGAGCCGGACGGGTGCAGGCAGCGGGCTGGGGTTCGGTGGCGACGGCAGAGCCCTGGCCTTCAGCTGGAGGTCCTTTTCTGTTCTTCTTAGGATCGGGTTGATGAACGAGAGAGGGTAGCCGTGTCGGTGGAATTTCTTGCGTATAAATCAAGTTCTTGCAGGCGGTCTTTGACGGAGGAATTCCACCGACGGTGGAATTTCTTTGACGCAAGAAATTCCACCGACACGGCTACCCTCTCTCGTTCATCAACCCGATCCTAAGAAGAACAGAAAAGGACCTCCAGCTGAAGGCCAGGGCTCTGCCGTCGACACCGAACCCCAGCCCGCTGCCTGCACCCGTCCGGCTCTCGGTTCCGTTCGCTGGTCCCTGCTTCTACCAACTGAAGCGAGAAGCCAACAAGATCGGCATTCAGCTCGTGTCGAAGCCGTCGCAGACCATCGGGACCCTCCTCTGTAGCCAAGCCAAGCACCGTCTACCCAAGCAGCAGGAGAGCAATGTCATCTACTGCATCGAGTGCTCCTGCCGGGTAGAAGGTGACCCGGTCGTCTACATCGGAGAAACGGACCGAGAACTTGGAACCAGAGTCCGCGAGCACCGAGAGAGCTGGGCTGGCTCGGTCCGCTCCAGAGCCAACGCTTCAGCGTTCAGCACGCACCGGGACTGCACGCCGGCCTTCGACGACGCCAAAATCCTGAACCGTGCCTGCCACCACCAGATGAGACTGCTTCTCGAATCGGCCTACATTCGTACCGTGGGACGGCGGGAAGCCGTCCTAGTGTCACCCAATGACGCGAATGTGAACCGCAACTCTGGTGCCCTGCTGCAAGACAGGTGGCTTCCCATTGTCCGACCCATATTTTGTTCGATCCGCACTGTACCTTCGATTCGATCTTAACATCCGATACGACTCTCGCTGACGAAGAATTGTAATACAATTCGAAAGCTCCGACCCAACGAACTCTTGTGGAGTAAGTCCGATTTCATTTTAATTCACAATTCATCTCCACATCATGTCTTTAAATGTACTTTTAGTTGTTGGATTTGTACGAAATTCCGTACCAAACTTCATGCAAATCCAACAATTATAAGTATTGTCGACCCGGTTCATGTGTCAACATCATCGTCTACGCTTAGTTCAGTCATCACCCAGCCAGCATACAACCCTCTCACCGACCCAAATCGCTAAACAGACTGTCCAAAGACCTATAAGTATCTCTAGCGAGGGCGCAACATCCCCCCTCACCCCTTTACTCACCAGGTGGTATGAATGACAGCAGTCGCTCCGATTCCCACCGCTTGAAGCGCACACACGGGTGGAAGCTAAAGTCGTCAAACAGCCTCGGATTGATGAAGGTCATCGTGAGGTCGGGCATGCCACTCAGCTTGACACTGCAGTCGATGTAGCCCTGGATCTCGGCAAACACTGTGCTGCCCGAGCGATCAATAATGGCATCCACCTGAAGACATGAGTGGGTGTCAGCGTTGTTCCTCTTTTTGAGTGTCAGTGTAAGGTTATAGAAGTCAATACAAGAAGCAAGTGTCAGCTACTTAGGCGTCAGTCTCCGTGTCACAATTGTCAGACCTCTCAGTGTCACTGCTGTGTCAATGCAAGCATTCCTAATCTGACTAAAAAGGACACTGAGTTTCCCCTACCTCCTCCACCACATCAAAGTAGGCCTCATTGTTGGTGTACTTGACGGCCGACCGGCGCCAGGGCACGTTGGACAGCTGACCCGACGGTAGCACGCCGCTGACGTTAGAGCGCCCCGTCACGGTATTAGCCAGCGTTCTGAGCACGTTCGGCGGACGGATCAGTTCCTGGAGGATGTTGGACTCGGTGGCCAGTGGGAAGCCGTTGTCCAGCATCTCGTCCAGTAGTTCGTACACCACCTGGGGGGAGGGGGGGGGGGGGTTAGCCAGGAGATGGGAGAGAAGGTCATAGAGGGGACAGTCTAGTGACGGCCCTGTTCATATTCATATTCATATTCATATTCATACTTGTATTGAGGTCATCCATGGCAAGTTATGGCTATTACAACCTCTTGTCAGATCTTGTAAACTTGTAAAAAGGAATGTCACACATACACGTATACACTTAGAGTGAGCACACACACACAAGCACGCACACACCTGCACACATCACACACATGCCTGGATACTCTGTACGTCAGTGTGGAGGCAAACTGACGAGATGACGTTTCAGGTGTCGACCGAACGGCGGCACGGGCAGCCGGACTAGGTCGCGCGGTAGATCATTGTAAAGCTTTGGCCCTCGGCAGGTAAAACGGCGGCGGCCCATCTCAGTCCTGGACCGGGGCACTGACAGTAGGTCGTCCTGCCGCGTGGTGCGCTCAGTGCTCACACGCGCCGCGGCTACAGTGGTGAGTTCAGCTGCCAGCTGCTCGGGCTCGCCCGAGTGTCACACTTTGTGGAGTGAGCATAAGGTGTGGTAAGAGGCCATGCTCTCAGCGCCGAGCCAGCCCAGTCTCTTGAGTAAATCTGAAGCGTGGTCGTATTTTTCTGCGGCCAAAAAGCATTTTAGCGCCATAGTTAATAACTTTTTGAATGCGAGAAAGGTTACTCTTTTTGCAATTTCCATAAACCGAGATGCAGTACCGTAGCTGAGAGAAGACCAGGGCATGGATCAGCGCTGAGAGCACAGACATGGGTAGGTGCCCCCGCAGATGCGACAGACCAGTCAAAACTCCAAAGCAGCGGCTAGTAACAACAGAGACATGACGGTCCCAGCTCAACGAGGGATCGAAGAAAAGGCCTAAATTTTTTTGCCTCGGGTTGGGGTCTCAGAACGTGTTCGCGATAGGTAACTGCGACGTTGTTTAAAGTGCGCAGATTTTGGGGGCTACCCAGCAGCATCAGTTGAGTTTTGGCGGCATTCACTTTGAGTCCATTTGCTCTAAACCAAGAGTCAAGGGATAAAAGAGCATTTTCCATGCGGAGAACGACTTGATTAAGTTCGGATTTTTTGCCGCTGACAAGAATTTGGGTGTCGTCCGCATATTGGATAACTGCAGCATCTCCAGCAAATAGGCTTAGGTCGTTCGCAAAAATGCAGTAAAGCAAAGGGCCGAGAGATGATCCCTGAAACACGCCGATGCTGTTGGGTAGCGGGGTGGATGTCTGGACTCTGCCCCGGGCGTCAGTGAAGCTGACGCTCTGGGTGTGGTTGGATAAATAAGCCGAGAACCAAGAAGTATCAATGCCGTAAAGAGATAATTTTGAGAGGAGTTTTGAGTGGTCTATCACATCGAAGCACTTGGTCAAATCCAGCAGGCAGAGAAGGGAGACTTCACCACGATCGAACGAGGTAAGGATGCGGTCTGAAATGGAGATCAGCGCGGTTTCGGTCGAGTGAGACGGCCGAAAACCGTGCTGAGTTGGTGAGAGGAGGTGGTTTTCTGAGAGGTAGGAATAGAGTTGCTGATGCACAGCCCGTTCTACAATTTTGGAGATCACGGGGACAATGGATATAGGACGGAAGTTTGCTGGGTCAGAATGACTGCCGGATTTATGAATACGATGGACTAGGGAGTGTTTCCAGGATTGGGGAACGTCGGATTGGGTTATGCTGGAGTTGACCAAGTGCAGGAGCACCCACCCTACCGAGTCAAAACAGGTACGTATCATGCGTAGGTCAATGCCGTCATCGCCGCTGGCGCGCGTATTGTTCATGCCGAACACAATGGCTCGCAGTTCGCAAAGCGATAAAGGCGCTAACACGAGAGCACATGCTCCGACCCGCGGCAAGCGACACGGCACATCCGGTGTCGGCCCAAGGCGCTTAACCTCTTCCGCCACCCGAGTGCCTACACTGACAAAGTATCGGTTAAAATCGTTGGGCAGAATGTCCGGCGGCTTACAAGCAGCTTGTTTACTGCCGACAACGGGACGGATCAGTTGCCACATTGACTTCCTACCGCCGTCACGGATGCGCTGCTCGATATCGTGGCGGGTGTCCTGTCTAATGGCGGAACGCACCGCTCGGTTAGCCTCACGGTATGCGTGTCCAGTGTATAGCTAAGGTGTATGATTCAGAGGCTCACGTTCAAGCTACCTAACTAAAATCACGCAAACAGGACTTGTGGAGCGTGGACACAAAAAATACTCAGGAAGTTTTAATTAATAATCAATTGGTTCAAAATACCTTACTTTTGATTGACTGGTTTTAATGGTTCTAATAAGATCAACTAATTCCTTGGATTGGACAAAATGAGATAACTGAATTCAGCCTACCAATCAAGGCCAGACACGGTTCATCTCACGCACGGCCTTTGAAAGAATAAGACTGCTTGCACCAGCCACAATCACTGTCACGAGCCTCATCTATCGAGCACCAGAGCGTCTCAACTCTACCTTCTACAAAGCATGTCCTACACATTTATAGCGACCTCCCGATGAATCAAATCTCAACTTATCACAAATTCCAGATTAACAAATCTCAACTCACCACATAATGTTCTTTGATGAGCGACTCCGTACAATCCCCGAAGTAGTCCTTGAACGTGTCAACCACTCGGTGGAGGAACTCGATGACGAAGAGTGGCATCATCTCCGAGGTGCACACGCTGACAAAGTAGAGTCCGGCTCGATACACACTAATCAGATAGTGATGAGGTGTGGTGATGACCTAGAAAGAGAGAGAGAGAGAGAGAGAGAGAGAGAGAGAGAGAGAGAGAGAGAGAGAGAGAGAGAGAGAGAGAGAGAGAGAGAGAGAGAGAGAGAGAGAGAGAGAGAGAGCTGGTCAGTTACTAGTCACATGGGTAAATTTTGTCTTTCACCATCAGAATATGGCAGAAGTGGTTATCTTGCCATACAAGATAGAAGTGTTTCATTGCTTTGAGGGCTTTGTGCTCAGCTGAAAATGGTTATCACAATATTAAACTCAAAAGTTAAAATGAGATGCAATTCAAAAGGTGAGCATAACATGTAAATACTTTGACATGCTTCCATTAATTACAAAAATCAACACACAATGATGTCACAAATCAAACCATATGATCACCATGAGTGTACTGGTTGATGCATAATTAACCATACCTCCTTGCAGTACTGGCATATCTGCTGGAATCATCACCATATTTATCGTTTTTAGAGGACTCCCTGCAGAACACTCACTGGAGGCACATCCACAGGGTCGTCCGCCCTGCTCTGCGCGTCAAAGAAGTAGTCGCACACAGACCGGTGGATGACTGACTTCCAGTGCTTCTCCAGGAACACATCTCCACCGTGGTTGATGATGAAAAGACTGTGAATCATGGCTGCAGTGCTGGAGTCGCAACCAATTCAATCTCACAGACTGGTTCGATGGCACCGCTGCAACAGTGATAAGGAGTTAAAAGTTAGGTTTAAAGATGTTTAAAATTCACTAGGATATATAAGTTCAGTGCTTAAAAATGAAATTATTTACTATAGTAGAATAAAAATATATCAACATGTGACCATATCATTATGGCATTACATGCACATTCATTTCATGCACATTGATTATGCACATTCAGAGGCAAGCTCAAACTTGAACTAGTCACCAATTTTCCAATCCCGGTCAGAGTGGGGAATGTAAATACAACAAAATCCATTTAATTCCTAGACCTCCAGCGACCTTTCAGACGACCTTTCTGTAAGAATCTTGCTTCCTTTCAGATACGAACCGCTTCAGCTTGTGAATGACTTTGATGCCTGAAATTGTATCATCCGTGTCAGATTTCTTGGTAAACGGTTTCAAAACGCCGAAATTCGATGAACTTACCCAAAAACAAAATTTTATAAGCTTTCCCGTATCCGTTTTAGTGTAATACCGGAGCCTAGACCTCCGAGCTCTAGGTATTGGCACGGATCACCTGTATTGGTATACAATCTTTTGCATCGCTTTATGCGCCATAGATAGTCTTGCCTGCGCCAATTATGCAAAATTAGATGGGGCACTAAAATGCTGCACAAGCCGTAAAGCAGCGTGTGCCACGAGGTCCTAGGACCTGATTTATAAAGAAAACCTGACGGCTTCCTCACAAGCTGTGACCGAGAAGGCGGAGGTACTCTCCACGCTCATTGCCAGTGTGTTCACTGATAAGAACTGCTCCAAGGCCCTTTTCTCGAATCTCGATGGACGATGAAGTAAAAGTCGCACCATCTCTGGTTGAGGAGAGGCTTCGCTGACGCTGTCTCAATACCTCCACCTCCTCAGGACCCGATCAGTACCCATCAAGGGTTTGGCGTGAGCTCAGAATCAGAATCAGAATGTATTTCATGACAAATCCACATGCATAAATGGTTTTTCATTGTCATACGTCAAATAAATAGAAATGACATGTGAAAGGGGGAAGGGAACGTGACAACGTGTGCCAATACAGTAGCCGCTAACATCAGCTCGGCAAGCCAGCAGCGAAAGCCCGCGCCTACACACCGCCGTGCTGCACCCGCAGCAGGTGGCGCCTCAGTCGAGACCTGAACCCACGCGCGCTCGTGTCGAATGGTAGTCGGTCATACTCTTGCACGCCACTGTAGCATAATCGGCGGCGACCTAGCTCCGTTCGTATTCGTGGTAGGACGTGCTGTGGCTTGGCTCGTGCCCGGTGCTGCCGAACCGTGATACCACATATGCTCTCGACAACACTCTCTGGTCTCCTCGTTGTGGTTGCTGAGTGGATAAGGCACAGTCTGTGGTATGTTACAAGGTTTCGCACGTCTAACCAGTTCAGTTCGCGCAGCACGTCAGATATATGGTCACTTTTTCATTTGCCACTGATGACCCGGGCACCAAAATTCAACAACTTCTGTACCCTGTGGAGCTGCGTCGCGTCACATGTTCCGTACACTGAAATACAATATCTGACGACAGATGTGACAAGGGCCTGCACAATAGTCACAGATGTCACCCGCAACAGCCGAACTGGCACCGGTGTCGCCGGTTTCGGGACGCTGGCAGCCGTGGCGGGACCGATGCTCACGTAGTAGTCATTGAGCGCATCTGGCGTGGCGCTGGGCACCGCGGCCTCCTTCTTGCTGCCGATGATAGGCCGCAGCACGCGCCAGACGCTTCCCGGTCCCGCCTTGGCCAGTTGTCGCTGCAGGTGAGCGGCCTGGTCTCTCCGTACAGCTGCACGGCACTGTCGGTTCAGCTCCCTGTAGTGGTCGCGCTGTCCACCGGGGCGGAGGGCCTGCCGCCGGTCAGCCAGCAACCGGCGGGTCTCGTCTGACAGCGGCGGCGCCCCGGGGGGGGGGGGGGCCGCAGCTGCACCTTGGTCACTGGGGCCACCGCGTCGAGCTGTGAGAGCTCGGCAATCCGCTGAGTGCATCTCTCTCCTCGCTCTTCAACAAGTCTCTCGCGACCGGTTCGCTCCCATACGCATGGAAGAAGGGCTTTATAGTCCCGATCTTCAAGGGCGGCGGAAGGCGGGACCCTTTCAGTTACCGACCGGTTAGTCTGACGTCCATCCTGTCCAAAGTGCTTGAAGGCGTGGTGCGCGACGAGCTGATGGACCACCTGGTGAGGACGGGTCAACTGAATGACGCCCAACACGGCCATTCCTCCCCAGGCGATCCTGTGCCACCCAGCTCCTCTCATCTAGGGAGGATTGGACTCGACTCATGGAGACGAACTCACCAGTCGACGTTATTTATCTTGATTTCCGAAAGGCGTTCGATCAGTCCCCCACTGACGCCTGATCCAGAAGCTCTATGATCTGGGAGTTCGCGGTACCCTCCTGAAATGGATTGAGGCATTCCTAACTGGCTTAAGTCAAGAAGTGGTGGTCAGCCTCAGCGATGCAAGATCCAGTCTCGTCCCTATCAGAAGCGGCATCCCTCAAGGCTCAGTCCTGGGCCCGGTCCTTTTAGTTATATTTGTTAACGACCTTCCTGAGCGAGTCCGATGTCAAGTCAAGCTATTCGCAGACGAAACAAAAGTGTATGTGGGTCATAAACACGAGCGATCCCATGACCGGGACCAATTGCAAGCGGAGTTGGAGGCCCTCACACACTGGTAGGTACACTACCTGGCTGGTGCGGGAAGCTCCCATAGGAGCAGGCCCGTTGAGCCGGGTGCGGTGAGTGTTTGGGGGCTGGATGGCCCGTCCAGTGGACGGGCTTAGCCCCGACGCCTCACTAATGGTGCCCACTGCCCACCCAGACCAATATCTCCCCATAATTCCTAATATCCTTCCAGAGGCAGCAGCGGCGGAACACCCTCAATTAACCCGCGCCCCGCTGGGGGGGGGGGGGCAGAATCTGCCCCCTCCCGTTTTTCGCCAATAACTTCTAAACGCGTTACGCCAGCGACGTCAAACTTTCAGTACCTTATTATACATCAATTTGACACGTTTCCTGAAAATTTGAGCGCAATCCGTCGGAAAATATTTGAGAAATTCACGTTTTAGTGACGTCATGTTCGCCATTTTCGCCTCAAAAACGGCAAAATTTCAAACGCCGCTAACATCTTCATTTTTAAAGGAATCAAGACGAAACAAAAAAGATTATACGTGATTCTACTTTGTCTATCGAATGGCCATCTCGGTTTTTTGAAAATTGTGGATTTTGGCCCACATTTTTTCAAAAAAACTGACTGTTTTGGAAAAATTATTATAAAATCCAAAATTTTGAGTGTATCGAAAAAACCGGAATATATGTCAGAGACGTGGTCTATGTGCACCTACATACCAATTTTTAGAAGAATCGGTTAAAAATGTGGGAGTTATTCAAAATTTTATGACGTCACGACACACAAAACTTTTGAAAACAATGATTTTTTTGGAAGTTCTAGACCTCGTACGGACACAAAAATAGCACCATTCGATTCGCCATGAAAAACTGCATTAGATAGACACCTTTTTAGGCCTTAACAACCAACTTCAAAATTTGACCTCACTTGACCTGACCTTGACCTGACCTCGACCTAAAATTCATCCAGAGGTGGTCCATATCCCGGCCGGGCCCGGGGGGTAATCCCAACCACCGCAGCCCGGGGGGGCGTTTTTCGCCCCCCCCCCCCTGTCTAACTCCGTAAATAAGGGAGCTACGCAAACAAAAGCGATACCAAACGAAAGGTCCTTACGAGACGATTCTAGGGCACCTAAAATTTTTGACCTCAGGTCAATTTTCAAGGTCAGAGGTCAAGGTCAAAGGCAAAAACCGGCACATGTGTAGTGATCTCAAAGTAAGCCTTCTAGAGGACGGCAGGATGCATCAAACCGGCAAAATTGGGTGTCAAACGAAAGAAGAGAATCTGAGGATTCCGAAAATGTGCTCATAATCAAAGGTCAAGGTCAAGGTCACGCCCAAACTTGACCTCAAACTTTGCACTTTTTCGTACATCTTGCGTGCTAACTTCCAAAATGTTTTGAAATGTTTTGAGGCTTATCAGTTCCCTATTTGTGGTTCATCTTACGATACAAGGCTGCTCAAAGGTCAAGGTCACAGAAGAGTATCCTTGCTAGAGGCTATTTCACTGATTCAAGTTAGTAATAATAGGGGAAGCCGGGGGAAGCCCGGGCGCGGGGGAAGCCCGGCCACCCCGTTTCCGGCTAAATTATTCACAATAAAATGTTCAACTGTTTGTCCTTTCAGCGTGGCATCTAAGGTAACGCCAGCAAAAAAGTTAAGGCTCACAAAAATTGCATATTGTGAAGGTTATAGCGCAAAAATGATATTTTAAGGGTTTTTAGCTAAAAAGTGAGATATGTTGCACTGTTAATGTTATACCATACAGTCCTAATATTTATACGAATGTTATGTAAGGACCGTTTAAGTGTTTGTAGTGAGGGGTGACGAGGCAGGCTGGCTTAAGTATGACATTTTTTTCGAATATCGCTGTTCTAAAATAAAAATTAGCACATTGGGGTAACCCCGGGCGAGTGGCCAAGCTTACCCCCAACCGAGAGCAATGCCACTAAACCACTGTTTTCCATGAGATAATAGGTACTGAGCAGGATTGGTTTACACCTATATCAAAGATAAATTTCGAAAATAAACGTGTTATCATAGACAAAGCCAGTCATGTCACGTAAGGTCAACTAGGGTCAAACTACGTTTTTGCAGATAACGCGACAGACAATGAAGCTAGAGCTTCAAAAATGGTGTCGTTGTGTTCTTCTTCATCAGCCGAGTCGAATGATATGCAATATGATGCATTAAGGTAAAAAGAAAAATAAATTTTAAGGAATTTTAAAATACACATTTTTTGTCAATTTTGCATCACGATTTTCATCGACCAGTACTGTATATGTGGTAGACGCTAGCTAAAATACCAGTAGTGACATAAACTCTAAGATGTCCAGAGCTAATCAGTACCTTAATATTTCACTTTCCGTTAATATTTGGAAGACACATAATGGTTTCATCAACTCGTTGTAAAGCGCTGGGGAGGTGGCCGGCGTTACCCCTATGCCGGGCTTACCCCAGAAAAATCAACACTTTTTTAAAACTCGATTTTCTCAACCTTATACTTATTCCACGAAACCGAATTTTTGGGAAAACACGGCCAATGAACTTAGCTAGCTAACAGGATATCAACATATTATACAGCACATATGGTATGTAATAAAAATGAAAAAGAGCTTACTATGCCGGGCTTCCCCCGGCTTCCCTTAAATAAGACAATTTTGCCATCCGGAAGCTCTAAATGAAAGCTTAGAGGAAAATAGATGCCAGATTCGTGATCAGCGGGTACAAATTCATCATGAACGACCTTTCATGTGTCAAGGTCAACCAAAGGTCATTCGAGGTCACATGAGGTCAACATAAAATTTGACCTTTTCCAAACAAAATATATATCATTCGACGCGGCTTGACAAGGCGAATGCGATGGTACCACTGCCGTAGCTCTAGGACCATTTTTGTCGAAGTTAT